CAATTTGGTAGATGGAAGGAGGGGGTGAAGGAAATGGGAAGGATCCAGTGGGGACTGGAAAAGATTGGGTAATGATGGGCAAGGTCCAAGGTGATTGATTTTATAAAACATAATGCATGGGAATGATTGTATGAAACACAGTATGAATCAGGAATAGTGTGAAACACAATGTATATGAACTTGGTGAGCAAACCAATATAAAATAAAAATTTTTAAAAGACTAAATATTTTAGAGTATAAAACAAACTATATTAAACAAACAAAAATGATAATGTGTTAAGCAGAATGACGTGAGATGGATGATTGCCCACCATCCTAAGATTTACAGCTAAAGTGTAGCTGTTTTGTGGGTTTGTAGCTGATAATGCGTTTTCCATGACAACCCAAACCAGGCTGAGGTACATTTAAGAAAGTTCACAGTCTTGGTATCATTGTACGTGAGTTTCAGGATTGAAACCAAAATGACTTTAGAAAATTACATTTACTGGAATGAAATCTAATTATGGCAGCTGACATCACTGGTTGAATGTTTCCCAGTTCAGACTTGATATCATTTCCCCACAGGGGGCTGGAGACCCCTGTAGCTCATCATCCTGGGGGTTCATTTTGCAAGGAAAGCAATTTATTTAGGAGCCCCATAGTCATATGCAAATTTCTGACCTTAGACTAATCCTAGCAGGTGGAAACTGTCCTTTGAAATAGAATTCCCTGCCTTGCAACCATGGAGATGAGTGAAATGCTAAGTATAACTGCCCCAAAAGTTTTGAAAGAACTAAATGAAAAAACGACATCAGGGTCTAAAGTCAGAGCCATTGGGGGGGGGGGGTGTAAATCCAAAACTCTAAAGCCCATTACTGTCCAGATGGTTGTGATTCATGATGAACCCCCCACCAGTTTCCAAGGCTGTAAATCTTTGCAGGAGAAGACTGGCCACCGTTCTCCCTTGGATTCGAACTGCTAACCTTAGCAGCATGATATGTTACACATTTTGCCACCAGAGCTCATTTGTCTATAAAGTCAACTCACACTGCTGTGGAGTCAGAACCGAATCATTGCTGACCAGTGTTCTGAGACTAAATCGCATGAGAGGAGACTGGCCAGCTTTCTCATGCTGGATTTACCCATGTGGAAGAGAGGCTCCGCTTTGGGGTAAGCAGGGCAGCTCCCTACTGACAGGAGTCTTCCAGTTCCTCGCTAGAAGGGATAACATAAAACATTCCTTTTCATCTCCTGCATCCTGCTCCTGCACTAGATGCTGGTCCTGGGGGACCCTGGGTTCAGATATCCCGACATTCCAATCACTGGAGACTGGGGAGGCATTTCCAAGGACAGATCCAGTGAGGGCCAAGTTCAAGAACAAAGGGGGTGACCTGAGATGGGAGCCTGCAGGGGAATGACCAGAGACACCCTCCCTCAGTGGACAGAACACCTGTCTCCACAGGACCCCACTCTTGACTACAAAGGCTGAACCCCAACTATGCCTGGTGCATGCTTCTCAGTTCTGAGAGAGAAGACAGGAAGGAGAGGGAGATGGGCAGGAAAAAAAGAGAGAAAAGAAACTGAACAGAAAGGAAGAGGGAGAGGCTGATGGAGGAGGGGGATGAGCAGGGACAAAGAGATGAGAGAGCTAGAGATACAGGAAGATGGGGAGTGAAGGAGGGAGGAAGAGGAAAAGAGATTGAGAGAGGGAACGAAAGAGAAGGTATAAAAGACAGATGTGATGTATAGGGAGGGAGATGAGGTGGGGTCGCGAGGGAGAGAGAGGAAGGGAGGAAAGAAGGGAGAGGGAGAAGAAGAGAGAGGGAGAGGAGGAGAGAGGGGGGAGAGAGAGAGAGATCGATCTTGGCCTAATTTCCTTTCTATAAGGCAAACTTTCCTACCCAAACCAAACCAAATCCACTGCCACAGAGTTGGTTCCTACGCATAGGGACCCTGTAGGACACAGTAGAAGGACCCAGCAGGGCTTCCAAGGCTGAGATCTTTACAGAAGCCTCACCTTTCTCCTGTGGAGCAGCTGGTGGACTTAAACACTTGACCTCTGGATTAGCAGTTTGATGTTAACCCACTCAGCTACACGGAGCTGAAATTTACCTTCTCTTCTAAACTAGCTTACAGAATAAATACCAACATTTCCTTATAGATGAGTTTAAAACAAAAGCAAAACCTTGTGAAAATTACTAACGCACACTTGTTAGATTACATCCCCCAAAAAAAGCACAAAAGAGAGAGAAATATATTCCATGTGCAAACAGTACATTCTTGGTGCCTAACTGCAAAATGTCCTAAAATCCCAACTGCTCAGAGGAGAGAAAACACTCATTCTGATTTATCAGCACAACAGAATGGTTTTTAAGGTATTAAAATGACACATGGGAAGGCTTCTTTTGCTCTAGGGAAAGAAGAATGCAGGAAAATACTCCTAACATTTTCCCTGTGTTCCACAGGGTAGGTGCCAACAAGATCACATTGTCCACTGTCCAGAGAACTGGGCAGAGGGAGCAGTAGCAGGTGCTCAATGATCACAGTCTCTTCCCTGCCTGCCCTTATGGAGTCCTGGTGGCACAGTGTGTAATGTTTTGGCTTACTAATTGAAAGGTCAGTGGTTCAAATCTACCAGTAGCTCCAAGAGATAAAGATGGGCAGTCTTCTCCCATAAAAAGATACAGTGTCAGAAACCAGTGGAGAGGCAGCAATAAGTCAGAATTGCCTCCCTGGCTGGGGTTCTTTGAATTTTGCTTCTGTTCCTTTAAGGAACCCTGGTGAAGCAGCACCCATCAGCCATCTAATTACAGCCTCACAAACCCAGCGGGGCAGTTCTCGGTCTGAGGTATTGCTGTGAGTTGGAATCCAGTCAACAGCATGGGTTTGTTTCTGTTGTGACCTGGGGGAGTCCATGTGCCTGGAGATGGCAGGCATTCAGATACAAGCCCTTGTAGGCCAGGGTCAATGGGCAGGGCTCTCCTTCTGCCCCAGGTGGGCTGTGCCCTCTCACCAAGAAGGAGCAGAAATGTCCACTGGAGAAGAGAAGGACAGCAGTCGCCAGCTGCCATGTATCATTTTAATACCTTAAAAAACTTTCCTATGTAGCCTCTTGAGTCACTGTTGTCAACCGGATCCCACACAGACAGGTGTTAACAGAGCACTCTTCTCAACGCAGACATTCTTACTAGGTAAGTTAGCCTACTCTGGGGTCTGAAGAAGACGCCAAGGGAATCCCAACACTTAACCTACTGATTTGTGTCTCTGACTATTTTGGACACCAGCACACCTCAAAGACATCACACTTTAGTTCCAAACCTCGATATAAAGTGAGGGCCGGAATAAAGCAGGTTACAGGAAGTTTTTTGTTTCCCAGTGCAGAGAAGCAGAGAAAAGCAATACTCACACAATTAGAAGAGAACTCTGCTGGCCTAGTGGAAAGGAACTGAGCCACCAACCCTAAGGTACATGGTTTGAATCCACCAGCTGCTCCGTAGGAGAAAGAAGGTCAATATAGTTCCATTTCATTTACAACCTCTGAAAATCTCCTGGAAGGCTAGCTTTGGTCAATTCTGGTTCTACGGTACATAACAACAATATCAGAAAACACAATCATTGAGTCTCTGCTGATTCAGAGTGATGCTGCAGGGCAGAGCAGAACTGTCTGACAGTTTCCAAGGCTGTAATTTATATGGGAGCAGACTGCTTCACCTTCCCCCCATGGGGGCTCAAACTGCCAAAGTTTTGATTAGCAGCTGGATGTGATTGATACTCACTGTACCATCAACACTCCTTTGTTTACACTGTCTTGCAGTCTACTGAAGGAGCTCTGGTGTCATAGCTCTTAAACGTCTAGCTGTCAACCAAAAGGTCAATGATTTAAATCGATCAATTGCCCCAAGAAAGAAAGATGGGCTGTCTCTTCCCTTAAAAATTTACAGCCTTAGAAACCTGATAGTGGGTCACTGTGAGTCAAGATAGACTAGACTGTGATGGATGATGGCTGGTGGGGTGTGTGTATGTGTGTGTGTGTGTGTGTGTGTGTGTAGGACAGTCTTAAAGTGTGAAAAAGCTTTATGAAATAATTTGAAACATCATTGAGAATTTCTAGAATGAAACAGAGAGGCACACAGTGAGCACAGGCTGCTAGAAGGGGCACTGGCAGACTTGCTGGATGCAGGCTTGTCACAAACCCTTGAATTATTATGAGGCCTGTGGGGAAGCCTGGCCCAGCAGGGTGAAGAGGGCAGAGCATCCCTGCACCTCACAGAGCACACCTCCCGTCACCTACATGAGCTGGAGATGCCTCCTGCTTCTTCACGTCATGTCTGCACTCAGCCACCCAGGCGTGCTCACGAAGATGGCGTGTGTCCATCGCCACCTGAGGTGCTCAATGCCACCTGTGAACGAGTGGGTGCACGAGTCGCTCCCTGCACACAGAGAGCAAACTGTCTTCACAGCAATCAACCCCCAAGCCCACTGCTGTCAAATCTCCTCTGACTCGCAACGGCCCTCAATGCAGGGCTGGTGGAAATGCCCTGAAGGGCTCCCAGGACTGTGTGTTTTCACGGAAGCAGATCTCTACTTATTTCTCCTGCAGAACAGCTGGTGGGTTTGAACCTCCAGTATTTAGGTTGGAAGTCAAGTGCTTTAACCCAGCTACCAGAGCCCCTTCTTTGTAACAACTCAACCAACACCAAACTACTGCCATTGAATTGATTTGCACAGTGACCCTTCAGTGGATTTCCAAGGCTGTACATCTTTATGGGAGGAAACAATCTTTTTTCTCTCTCTCACAAGACACCTGGTGGACTTGAACCACCAACCTTAGAGTTAATAACCTATCCTGTTACTCACTAAGGCACCAGAGTTTCTTCTTTATAACAGCAGAGACATGAAAGGAATGAGTGCTGCAAGGCCACCTCCTCCCACCTCCCTGCTGTTCCTGTCTCGCCATGTTCACTTGAGCATAAAACATGAGACTACGCCAGGAGACGGGTGACAGCTGTTCTCAGACTTACCAACTTCATCCCTGATGTTTGCGAGTTCAATCGACAGCTCTTTTTCTTTCACAAGGGCACTTTCATTCTGGAAAAAGGAAAATACAAATCAGCTACCGAGAGTCCTGGACGTTTCACGCTAGATGAGCACTTTCGCATGTTTAATTAATGAATCCTTTTAAGCAAATATTTATGAGTCTAGCCTTTAAGGAGATAATTTTCTCATTATAGTAGAATATATTTACAAAAACACACACACAAAGCCAAGCCAGACTCATTCATTTGCATCACATTCAAATTGCAAAATCTGTAATATAATATTCTTAATATTCATTGTTGTGTTTTTCTCCCAAGGCAGCCCCCAGGGTACAAGTAAGAACTGCTCCTAAGTGTGTCTGTAAGTGTTTTTAAGGGGAATTTGTAACTAAGCACAGATTCGCATGGTTTTTACATAGCCTTACTTATGTGTCGAGCTCCTTATGGAAAGGTCGGTGGTTCAAATCCACCAGCTGCTCTGAGGGAACACAATGAGACAGTCTCCTCTCATTAAGATCCACAGCCTTGGAAACCTGATGGAGGTCACCATGAGTTGGGGTCCACTCAACAATAGGAAGTTCGATTTAGTTTAGTGCAAGACAAGAACCTTGGTGGTGTGGTGGTAAAACATTCAGATGCTAGCGCTTCTCAGCCTTTTGGTTAAGATCAAGTGTAAAACATTCAGATGTTAACCAAAAGGGTGGAAGTTCAAACCCTCCAGCTGCTCCGCTTCTATAATGATTAAAGGCTGGGAAGCTCTATAGTTCCACTCTGGATGACAGGGGCGCTAGGAGCAGAAACCAGCTCAACAGCACTGAGTTTGGAATTTCTGGTTTTCATTACAAATAAAGGTTAAAGATGTTTCTATGATTTGAAAGTGTTTATGAAGCAACAGAAGGTGATTGTGATAAATTTGTTGTGAGTAAGGTTTGGTCAACTGTTTCAAAGTGAATGCAATTTTATATAACGTTGAAAGACAGCTGTAACCTGAAAACTATCTCTATTTTACACCTTTGCCAATAGCCCTTTGTTATTGCTGTTGCTTTGTGCCGTCAAGTCAGAACCAACCCATAACAGACCCTCCAGTGGGGTTAAAGAGGCAGTTGATTGCACGGGAAAAGATTGCCCACTCTTCTCCTGGAAAGCAGCTGGTGGATTCAAACTGTGTGCCTCCAGGATTGCAACGTAGCTTCTTACCACTAAGCCACCAGAACTGCCTCCCTACCCATGTATCTGTTACATATACTACTGTACAGTGTTAATTTTCATTACTATTATGGTCTTTTAATTTTACTTAGATCTACAATCAACATCCATGGCAGCATTGGTAAAGAAATCAAAAGACACGTTGCATTGGGAAAATCTACTGTCAAGGACTCCTTTCAAGTGCTAACGAGCAAGGATGTCAGTTTAAAGACTAAGATGTGCCTGACTCAAGTCATGACATTTTCAATTGCTTCAAATGCATTTGAAAGTTGGACAATGAATAAGGATGGCTGAAGAAGAATCTAGGTCTTTGAACTGTGGTGTTGGCAAAGAATATTGAATATACCACGAACTGCCAAAAAAAACAAACATATCTCTCAAGCATGTTGGAAACTGTGAGGATGGTGCAGGATAGGGCAGGGTTTCTATTTATTGTTCACAGTGTTGCATGAGTCATAATGGACTTAATGGTACGTAACTGCAAAAATATTATGATACTTTTGACTATGGAAAACCACCTGCCATAATTTTATAAGGAGCAAAGGGTTGGTAGGCAGCTGTGCTGATAAGCCAAAGGTCATGGCTCTCTGGAGGTTCATATCCTCTGGCAGTTTTAAGGGAGAAAGAGGAACAATCTCCCCTGTGTGATTTAGAGCCTTGGGAACCTACTGTAGAGTCAGTTATAAGTCAGTTCCAACTTGATGGCAATGACTTTGACTTAAGATTTTTCCCCTAAAACTTACCTCTGTCTATGTTTACACATATACCTTATATAGAATGAAGAACAGAGCACAGACTATAACACCAGATATGTATACTTGCAAAAAAGACCAACACCAAACTGTAAGACTTAGAAGTTGCTCGCAGCACCATTTCCTCCAATACAAAGAATGAGACGAAAACTCATACCCCAAGTATTATTTTGTGCAAAGACTGCCATTTGCAAGTAATTGATTACTGACTTGTTTTCAAACCCAAATCTGTCTGTCACATAAAGTAGATGAGGAATGGAAGCACATTTAATGTCTTTTGAGTTGATGGAACCATCATAAAATAATTTCATTTATTACAATTGTACTAACAGGGAGCTCTGGTGGCCTAGTGGCAAGCAGCTGCACTACAATCTCAAAGGCACATGGTTCGAGGCCATCAGCTGCTCCAGGGGAGAAGAAAGGGCAATTTTCTCCCATGTGATGATATGCTTCTGAAAACCCATGCTGGAGGGTCAGCTATGGATCAGTTCTGACTCTATGGTACACAAAACAAACAAATAAAACTAATTCTAATAGGGAACTCTGGTGGCTTAGTGGTAAGGTATTGCCCTGCCAATACAAAGGCTGTGGTGGTGGTTGTTGTTATGTGCTGTCGAGTCACCTGTGACTGACTCAAAGCGATCCTATGCATAACAACCCTAAACCTGCTCTACCTCATGTCAATCTTATTGTTTCTAAGACACCTATCCCCATTACCCCAGTTACTGAATCAATCCACCTCATTGAGGGTCTTCCCCTCCTGCGCTGTCCCTTTACCCTCCCAAGCATGACGTCCCTCTCCAAGGACAGATCCCACATTGCAACATGTCCAAAGTATGTCAGACAAAGCTTCAGAATCCTTGCCTCCAAGGAGCAGCCTGGTCTCACCCTCTCTAGGACAAACTTGTTTATTCTCCTAGCATTCCATGGTATATTCAATACTCTTCTCCAGCACCACAGCTCAAAGGCATTAATTCTCCTCCTATCATCCCTAGTCATTGTATAGCTTTCCTGTATCAGGTACCAGGTGCATCTTAGTCTTCAGCCTGACATTGTTGCTCTTCAGTACTCTGCAAAGGTATATGGTTTAAATTCTCCAGCTGTTTTGCAGGAAAAAGATGGGCAATCTCCCTCCTCCTGTGCAATTTACTGTCTCTGAAAACCCAATGGAGGGCTGAAAACCCACTGGAGGGCCAGCTATTTGTTGTTTCTGACTGGAATCTAGATAACAATAACCACTAACCTCTAATAGTAACTAAAGGACCCTGGTGCTGTAGTGCAATATATATTGAGTTAGCTGAAAGGCCAGCAGTTAGAATCCATCAAGCACTCTGAAGGAGAAATCTGGGAAGTCTCCTGCTGCAATAATTATTGCCTGGGGAACCTTATGGAGGGTGACTGTGCATTAGAACTGACTCCACTGAGTGGAGTGGGTAAGGGGCCCTGATGGCCCAGCACATGAAGTACTGGGCTACTAATCAAAGAGCTAGTGGTTCAAGTCCACTATTAGCTCTTCAGGAGGAAGATGAGTCAGTCTCCTTCTGTAAAGATTAAAGCTTGGAAGCCTTATGAACAGTTCTCTTCTGTCCTGCAGGGTCTCTAGAAGCCTGAATAGACTCAAGGGCACTAAGTGTATTTTTTTTAAGTAGTAACTAGGAATGACATCCTAAATGGGGTCTCTTCAAATATACCAAGACACAGGACCTTCTAAGAAAGTCTCTGTAGGATGTAGGACTTCCAAAATAAAAACCTAATGCCTTCAAGTGGATTCCAACTCACGGTGACCCTTCATCAAGTTTCCTAGTCTATAAATCCTTACAGGAGAAAACTGTCCATCTTTCTCCTCTGGAGCAGCTGGAGGACTGGAACTGCTGACCTTGTGGTTAATAGCCAGAGACCTTCTCCTTCTGTAGGGATGACAATGCTGAAACCCTGTGGGACAGTTCTGTTCTGTCCTACAGAGCAGCTGTGAGTTGGAATCAACTCTGTAGCCCCAGGTAGTTATTGTTCTAATTCCATTGTGTCCTTTCATTTTATTTGTAATTGGATAACAATGCTTTTCAAAATTAATTATGTAAATGCATTTAGAATGTCCACATCAATACTCTGTTCCTTCCAACACCTTCCTATTTCTCCCCATCCCGCTCGGAGACTCAGAACACAGGAAGTTTTCTCATCAGGACCACCGCCAGGACGGTACCTTTGTTCTAACATCAGCATAATCTTGCCAGTCAGAATTGAGCTAATTATTACAAGTTCAGAACATCTGGCTTTCTCCCCACAGCCGCGAAGTCAGTTCTGAGCCTCCATTCGCTTTCTGAGGCTGTAAATATTGACAGGAGGCGAGAGCTCCATCTCTCTCCCATGGAGAAGCTGGTGGATTTGAACTGTCAACTTTTCAGTTAGCAACCCACATGTAAAGGAACTTGCCAATAAGGCTCCTTGGAAATAGTATTATTAAGTGTTAACCCTCAAGGTGTTGGATGCTGTGAAGGTTGAGACCCAATGAGGGGATACGAAATTAGAATTTAATAAAAACCAAACAGACCTAATTTCTACTCCAGAGGAAGGACCCCTCAGACCTTGTATGGGTGTTGTTAGTCACCATCACATTGGTCCTAAATCATGGTAACCGGATGCACAAAAGGATGAAGCTCCACCAGGTCCTGGGCCATCGCATCATCAGAAGTGGATAAAAAGAGGCTGCTTTGATATCCTCTGGCATTTTACTGGCTGCTTTTCTGAAGTAGACTGCCATCTCTATCATCAGTTGAAGATTAAACTATTGCAAATTCATGGACTTTTCGTTAGCTGCTTTTCAGCTGTGGATCACCAGTCCTTTCTTCCTAGTCTTTCTTAGTCTGCAAGATCTACTGAAACCTGTTCAGCATCCCAGCAACACAACACAACATGACACAACACAAGCCACTGACAAGCGTAGTGGCTGTGCGTGAGCTGCATGTGTTGGGAACTGAACCTAGGTCTCCTGCATGGTAAGCAAGGATTCTCCCACTGAGCTACCACAACCCTCTGAGCACTTATTACCCTGAAGCGTTTCATGAACTCATTGGAAAAGAAGCGGTCATCTATCTCC